CATTCCAGAAAGTTGAAAACTGTCTGAAGATTCGTTCCTAAGAGAATGAAAACAAGACTACAACCTTCACTGCATTTACAAAACCAATGCTTTATTCTAAAAGTTGGAAACCTATGGGAAAGAAAATCCCATGCTTTAATCTAAAAGTTAGAAAGCACTCCATGGGAAAGCTATTCCCTTGCCTCCGCCCATTCCCTGACCCAACAAATCCTAACAGTAACATAGTCTATGATCAACAGCTGGAGAGCGCAGGAGGGGTAAATAATTTTTTTTTATGCTTCTTTACTAGCACAAAGTTGACTTGATAAACAAAATAATAACCACAACAATAGTGGTTATCAGGAATCTAAATCAAAATTTTACACTAGAAAGTTTTACAAGAGAAATAGCTACCTATGGATTGCTGAGATTGTGAACACCAATGACACAAGGACAAACTAAAAATATCATATTTGTTGAAATAAGAGAGAAGGAATGATAAGTATATCTTGCCTTAAGATCAAAAGCAAAAGGTTGCTGCCCAAAGTTGACGTGCACCCTGCCAGATCAAAATTAAGCACACATCTCGAGATCATGAGAACATGAATCTGTAGTATCTGAAGCTGAGAAGTAAATACGCAAGAAATTGCCTAATTACAACAGATGAACATTAGAAAAAGCTTAAACATTCGAAGAGGATACCACATACTCCTCATTTTGGCTGTGTACAGCAATTGTAGGAAATAAGGGACCCTTCATATCCTTGGGCACTGTCCCCACTACAGCACCATTTTTACTGGCAAAAACATGAAACAAACAAGATAACCTTAAACACCACTGTTTTCTCAGGAGAAAACACACTAAACAAAGTAGACCACTGTCTTACGTGAAAAAGAACTCCTGTGAAGCATAATTGATACCACCTCCAACTCTATCACCAGAGGTGTAGGTTGGGCCAAAAGCCTCTCCTTTTCCATGTCCACGATAAAGTAGTCCATCATCCCCATGATAGCCACAACTATTTGCCTCCCACCTGCCTCATGGATGATTAAATTAACACAAATAGCATAACTAAAATAACAGAACTTGCCAATTCAAACTAGTACTTTTCAAATCTCACAAACAGCATGAAAAACAATGCTACACGCAGAAAAGAAATGCTTTTTTGCTTTGTTTTTCCTTCTTTTCTTCCCTTGGGAATTGAGAAGCACAAATAAAGACAGAAGATTTAAAATTGACACCAACCCACTAAATCCTATTCATCACAGGTAGTAGCAGGCCACCAGGGGCTGTTGACTGCATAGGAGAAACAAACTCTCCAATTCATAACAAAATTATGTACATCTCAACGAAGGAAACTTTTTACGGTGTGTATGTATCATATGTTTCACCATTATTTCACAGGCCATGCAATTATTAATCCAATTAAGAATACACAGTTCAGACAATTAAAGGTCAGAAAAACCTATGCAACAGAATACTCATCAGCTGATCAGTTATTTGCCAGTAAAACATATGTCCATTGACCTTCTACGTGTTAACCTAACTAAAAAGAACCAACAAAACCAAAATAAGCTTCTCTCCAATAACATTATAAGAAAATCTCTAGCTTGCAAAGTCCCCAGTTGAAGATTAAAACACAATCTCACTTTTGTTTCCTATTTCTATTCTTTCTTATCCTGTTCGGTTTCACAGACACCGAGCAATGCCCCAACTTGAATCCACAACTAAAACCCAATACATCCGTTTAAATTCTTTCATATTTTCCCAAAATTTTCAAATTACCAACCAAAGAAAAAGACCACCAACAACTGTGACAATTATGCTCATTCATTTTCTCCAACAGCAAACAGACCCAATCAAACTAGAAGCCTCACCCGGGCTGCCTCCGCATCTTGAAGCTCTCAGAAGTAAATCCAATGGCAATCTGACCCTTGGTCCCAGCATCCTTGACATAAATCTCGAAGTAGTAGACGAGCCGCTTGACCGGAGCTGGCTTGTTAGCCTGAACTACACCGACGTCGTGTCCATGAAGGTTGACGTTGGTGTACTTGGCCGAGAGCTTATCGGGCGACACCACGAGGAAGCCTCCAGAGCTATTGATGGTGTTGAGCTCTGTAGGAGCCTCCTCGTCCTCGTCCATGTCCGTCGGCACACGAGCCGAGCCGAGCCGCGACTGCTCTAGGAACCACAGGCCGAGATCTCGATCGCTGTGGCCGTTGGTACTGTTGGTGTTGTTGCTCATTGTTTGAATCTGAAACCCTAGAACTCAAGAATCATTTGGTGAAAATCAGAGTGGAAAGTCGGAAACCAAAACCCTTCTTCGATTTGGGGACTTAGCAGAGAGAAATGGAAATGATTTGTTACTGCAGATAGAGGGAAAGAATCAAGAATCTTTTATCACTGTGTTTCTTTTGCTTTTTTATTTTTCTTGAAAGTATTTGATGAAATATTTGCGCTAGCATGGCAATTTTCCTAGGGATGGCAAGTTTACCAATGGGTTGAAACTAAATGGGTCGGGTATGAATGATATTTTTATTTATTTTTTAGTATAAGAGTTTCTACAATTATGCTCTTTATTTATATCTATATATATAATAGATATTTATAAAAATACCCAATTCTAGATATGTATTTATAAAAATACCCAAGCACTATTTAAACATAGAAACATACCCAAAATGGGTTTTGGGTATGTGTGTAATGATGGGTTTTGGGTATGTTTATAAATGGGTTTTGAGTGTGTGTAATGATGAGTTTTGGGTATGTTTATAAAGTGGTTTGGGTGTTGGGTATTTTTATAATTTCAGCCCCCATTTTGGGTATTTCAGTGAAACTCCCTATATATAAAGTAAAAGGCAGTGAATTGTGAAACATTCAAAATACCAAAAAATGCCCTTAGTTAATTCAAACATTAAGAATTGAAATTATAAATTAAATGAGGGTAATATGGTAAATTCACTTTTTTTATATATTAAAAAAATAAAAAAAATCAGATAATAGGTCCTACTTTTATGGAACATAACTACTCATGTTATCTTTTCTTAATTCTAAAAATAAAATAAAAAAGAAATAAGAAAACCAATTGGCATATGCGTGAGCATGTGCGATGCTACTAGTTTTAAGTTAAAATTTAGCTAAAAATATATAAAAATTATTTTAGGAGCTCTCTGTAAAATTTTAACTACAATCATACTCTCTAGTTTAGAGATTCATAAATGTTATAACTCTTTTTTAAAAAATAGTTTAAGAAGTCACTAGGAGTTCTTTCTCTCTCTTCGGATTTAGGAGCTTTTATGAGGTGGATATGGAGCATGGTTGGAGTTGTATTTTTCCAATTCATTCCTAAAATTTGACTAAGGAGGTGGTTTAAAGAGTCCATTGTGGATGCTCTTAAAGCATCTACAATCATGCTCCCGATTTTTTAGTTAAAATTTAACTAAAAACACACAAAAGCTATTTTATGAGCTCTCTATAAATTTTGATCTCCAATCATACTCCCTAATTTAGAGAGTCATAAATACTATAATTATTTTTTAATTCAATATAATTGGTCCATCTCTATACAAAATAATATAAAAAAGTAGTTTACATGAATTAAAAGTTTAAAATATGCATAAAACAAAGCAATATTAAATTATATGGTAGCAACTAAGAGTCTCTTCTCTCTCCTCAAATTTAGGAGCTCCTAAAGGTCTCCCTATTTAGGAGGTGGATAGGTAGCATGGTTGGAGTTGTATTTTTCTAATTCCTCCTTAAAATTTGTCTAATGAGATAGTTTATGGAGCTCATTGTGGACGTTCTTAGAGGTCTCTCTATTTTAAGAGGTGAATAGGAAGCATGGTTGGAGTTATATTTTTTCAAATCCTCTCTAAAATTTGTCTAAGGAGGTGATTTAGGGAGCTCATTGTAGATGCTCTAAGCGATAGTCTAAATTAAAGGGGACTCAAATTTCTCACACACAACTAATAAGATGTCATTGAGATTCGAACCTGAGACCTCTTGTTTGCAAGTTAAGGCTCTTGTCCACTGGGTTAGACTCTGTTGATCGGGTATGAAGGATGTAAATGAGAACGAGTTGGGGAAATTTTCGGGTAAAATGTTAGAGGCAGGGTAGTGATGGTAATCCACAACCCAAACACTCCTTGATTTTAGAATATATATGTATATTATATATTTTTCATATGAATATATTAATTATTAAGTGGCTTCTAAGTGTGTCTCATAACAACCACCAAAATATGTATTTCACATATTATATATTGAATTAAACAATACATAAAAAGTGAGTGTTTTTAGTTCGAAAAACACTAGATGTGTCGTCTATAACAATTATAACGATGTTTGGTGCATGTCTTAACAAAGATTTGAGGCGTGTTTCGTGAGATTATTCGTGATTAAGATGACATGTACCTCATTAAGGAACATTATTTACAATGCTGGCTTTTACTGTTTGCAGTTTCCCACCTCACCTTTATTTCTCAAGTTTCTTATCTTTATTCATTGGTTGTTTGTTTGCTAATTAATTGGCTCCAATTTTTAGTTCTACTCATTTGTGTGTTTTTTTTTTTGGTTTGGTTGTACGTATTTGTGTTAGTGTTTGGAAAAAGAATTTCTAAATTTAACTAGACTATAGGCTTCGTTCGCGTTTAGTTATGTTGTTTTCGGGCTTTAGTCCCCTTACCAAAAAAGAATCTAGACAATTTGAATCATTATATATTATATTATAGAAGAAGCCAAGAAAAAAAAAATTAGCTAGACCCTAAAAAAATTATTGATTCTGCCATTGTTCATGGACTCCACAACAAGTAATTCCAAGTTAGTCCACAAACACACAATCATCTGGATCTAGCTATATATCTCCTAATATATTTAGAAAAGAATGGAGTTTGATTGCTAGTTGCAATTTTTGTGTTGTTGACAAATAAGTGACATGATTAGTTTGTTTTGGAAGGTATATCGACATCCTTGGAAATTTATATATAAAAATTCCAAATGCTATATAACTTAAATAACTTATCATAATTATGGAAGAAACTAATGTCTCTCAAAAGAACTTTGTAAGCTAAGACACGCATCGAAGCAATAAACAAACAATCCATAATGGAATACTATCCCGATCTGCTAGTTTCAGACCCCTTTATTCCAGGTTCTCTCTTTCTTTGCCTTTCGCATATACACTGTGACTGCATGATAAGACAAGCCGAAAACACAAATTAATTTTAGTTAGCAACTGATTATTAAAAATTTGTAACATGTGAATGCTTGTCATAATTACACAAAATATACATGAAATTTGCAATTGTGTTATAGAATCATGAATGAGGCCATGACATGTCCACATCCATATTATTACGATTGATTAAATATGTCCATTTTTTGACTGTGGTGTCACCCGTGTGCATTTGTTTCCATTATTTACCTTAAAAGGAAAATTAGTCATAATATAACCTTTTTTTTCAACATTTTTAGCATGAAATGGGTCTATAATAAAATGCCCCTTTGTTAATTAGAATTAACAAATGAGTTGCACAAACCTGCATATGCTTCAAGTTTTCACAGTTGTGACATACTTCATAAGCATGCTGACGATATCCGATCGGACCTTTGAGGATGATTCCTTCAAGTTTTTAATCTTCGCATCAGTTTCCTCCTCAAGCCTTTTGACATTGGAGCCAGAGCTCCCACTTGTCTGAAAAAAATTAAAACCTAATCAAAGAAACGTATATATATCACAGAATAAGGACTCAAATTACTTTATAGAAGCTCATGTTGTGGTACATCTGAAATCATCTTTTGATACTCAGCCTCCATTTTGGTGCGATAGAGTTGCACTTCCCTCTCAGCTTCGTCTTTAGCTTGCCTCAAGCGCGCCGTCTTTGCTGAAGAATGTAAGATTGTTTTGTTGTCAAGAGTTAAAGGAAAAAGGACAGAATGATAAGAACACAAAAAAGAAGAAGAGAGCTTATGGATTTACAGGTTCTAGCACTGTTAACAATGTGTTGAGCATCCTGTTCTGCTGTTAGCAGCATCTGGATGCTGCCTTGTCCTCGAACAGAATCCATGGCAAGTGTGTTACCTGAAATAGGGAAAGAACTAAGTCTACCTTGAGAAAACCAAGGAACTTTTAAAATATAACACTATATAATTCGTTTTTCTCATCTATACTTTTTACATAAACGCATTCATCTCTACCTTGAGAAATTTTTCTTGGCTGTCATCTTGTTCAATAAGTGAAACCTCATCAGATATTCAATCCAGAAAAGTCCAATAAATTCTAGATGACAGAACAGACATTTCCTATAGATAGAGTAGCATTCGGTAATGAATAGCTATTGCAACAAATTATATTTTGATTCACCTTTCAAAAATAAGGGTTGTTTGATGCAAACAAAGGCAGAATTATATAATTAAATAATAATAGAATTAATTCGTTCGTGAATTGATATTTGCATATCAGTCCTTCAATAGAAGGGGACTACATATCTATATACACACACGCATATATGGGACAAATGATTCAGAAAGAGAAAGTAAGAAAACTTTAAAACATATGATATCAGAAAATACCTGAATTTCTTCTGAGTTATTGAAGAGTAGAAAAGAAAATAGGTCAAAACCTGAACGAAAATATTTATAGCAGAAGGGTTATATCCTCAGACTCAGGAGGAGTAATGAATGAGAGTATAAGTTGTTTGAAGATAAAAAATGTTGGAGAGGAGAAACTCCATAAGTGCCACGTGTAATTAAGTAGTATATTATGTTTTAAAAAAATTACCAGCAGAGACGCGTTCTGTTGAGAAATTACTGGGTCCTCAACCCCAAAAATTTCCATGGTGATGAGTATTGAGCTCTAGATTCTCTTGTTATCATCTTATTATATATCTAAATTGATGAACACATGACTCGTATACAAAGTGAGCTTCAATTGGGATCCCTCAAAGAATGTATATATGTGCAGTGGCGGAGCTAGTAGCTTGTCTTTCGGGGGGCCACTACTATAGTTTCAAGGTTTTATAGCTCTTATATTTCAACTGATATAGCATTAAGTGTTTAAGAGTTATTGATTTTTTCATGGAATGTGAGGGGGACACGACCACTACAATCTTGTATGTGACTCCACCCCTGTATATGTGTATAGCAGTTCCAAACATACCCATGCTTACTTTTTTCATGTTTAGTTTTTCAACTCTCTTGCAAGACTTGTGTTCAAGCTACCAAACATATGTCCTTATAAACTGTTTATCCTAAAACGTCCAAGCCTTAGAGATAGGCATGAGATTATGTGAATTGCGAGTGTGCAACTATTAGCAGTGAAAAAACCATTAATAGATTTTAATGAAATAAATAACTTACGCACTAAGATACTGAATTAATGAAAAGATTGTGAATTGAAATAGTAAACTACTCCAATTGAGATTTTTCCTATGCCTCAAGACAAAATAGGACTTTGTAATTTCTCAAATACAATAAAAAGGAAATAAACGGCAAATCCATGGAAATAGACTCATATAGTTGACCTCAGGCCCTGATCATTCTGACCTTTCCATGTCCATCCCCTATTTTTCTAATATATCAGCCGATATTGACGATTTTTTCATCAGTCTATATGTATATGGTTAAAAGTAGTGTAACCCCCAAATTTGAGTACATGTTAGTAATCAAAAAAGAAACTGACAGTCTAATAACATAAACATTTATTTGTTGAAAGGATCCTTGATATTATACAAAACGTCGTTATTTATTTATTTAATAAAGCAAGTGGTTTAGTACAAGATTAAAAAAGTGATGATATACAAGAACAAGGGCAATGAAAAAAAGACCATACAATGGCTCGCCACCCCTGGCTACTAAGTCAACCATCAAAGAAAGCAGCGTTATCCCAACCAATGAACTACATGGTTGGCAAAGCTTATCAGCCACAGCATGCATTGCCCTCTGTGTCTATATGAGAAACTCTGAAGCTTGATCATGAAACTTATTCTTCGAAGAAGACAATGTCTCCGCTGAGGACACAAAGACCAAGGAGCAGAAAGGGGTTTAGGGAAAAAATGTATGACCAACTGAGAATCTGTTTCCAACCATAACGAAACCAGCCCTTCTCCCAGGCTGTGATTATAGCAAGCATGAGGACTGCAAGTTTAGTCACATGCGCAGCGGAGATACCGATTGACTCACAAACAGCACCGACAGCAAGACCGCCATGGTTGCGAAAGAGACCAACAGAGCCAGCTTGCCCCAGAAAACCTTTTCTTGGTCCATTTGTAGTAGCCTTAATCAATCTGCGTTCATAAATTAATTAGCCTTAATCAATCTGCATTCATAAGTCCTTAACCTAGCTTCTACTCTCTAGCAATCCATGATAACTCATGGAATTTGGAAAAGGACAACTAAAAACCTAATGTACATACCTGATCGCTGGAACTGGTACATCCAAGATAGACGGTGGCCTTGTTCCCACACTGTTGATATTCCAGCATTTCCCTGCTGACCCATTTGATGTATTAATGATATTAATTGTTTCTTCAACAACATTATCATCATCATCACCATCACCATGGCCATCATAATCATAGTCATAAGCATCATCATCGTCTTCGTCGTCATAATCCTCATAAGCATCTACATTGTCATCATAGAACTCATCCTCCTCGTACTCACTACAGTACTCATCATCATCATCACCGCCATCACAAGCAACTGGTGGAAATAAAACGTCTTCGTCAAGCAGGACAAGCTGCAGCCTAAGACGGCCGTTGGATCTGTGTGCCCTAAAGTACTCATGGTGCCTCACCTTCTCCTCAGTCAAAATCAACCGTCCGTCGGTCGTGTAATGCCTCTTCAAAATCCAAGGCATGTGAGAAGGAAGATTCTCCGTTCGCGCCAGCAACGGGATGGGAGGTGGAACCTCCAGATAGTCTTTCATCTTCATCTTCTTGGGTGCCCACCTTAACGACCTTTCCTCTCTCTTGCTAAAACTGTTATGTTTATGACGGAGGCGACCGAAACCCAATTCTTCGTCGGTCAGAACGTCAACGCAGGACTGCATGCCAATGTAGTCCCCGGACGTTAATAGAGAGGGGGAGGTGGGTGGAGAAAAATCGTCATCGGAGATCATGTTATGGTCAAATGGGGTTTGTTGGGGTTCAATAGCGAGGGGCTTGAGATTCAATTCTAGTTCTAGAGGAGGGTGGGACTGGATTTGGGATTGGGGATTGGACTGGCATGGATTATTATAAATGGGACTGGTTATCCTTGGATTGGAGATCTGCATAGTGTTAGTGTTGCTTTACATACAAAGACTTTTACAAGTGTATATTATCTGTGACTTGAAGATTAATTGGTTTATTCGGGAATCAGCTGAATCACCTGGACAATTTCAACCAAACAAATGAAATTAAGCATGTTGTTAGAAAAAAAATAATAATAAAATAATGTAAAATTTATAATATAAATATATAAATAATGTAAAAAAAACATATAACCAATAAAAGACTATATATAGACCATAAAATTAAATCTTGTGCACTGTAAATATGATCCAATTACTTAATGGTCAATGGTCATCATGATCAACGGCCACAACAACTCACAAATGCATGAATTGTCTGGCATCTACGAGTCAAACGAAGAAAAAAAAAAGTAAATTGGAAAAAGCACAAAAGAGACGAATACGCGTCCGAAAAGCTCGAGAGTCGAATATGAAAGTGAACAGGTCAGCATGCAAATCTGGAAACTAGAAATCAAACACCAAGAGAAACCCAGAAACCCTGCTTCTTAATACTGCTAAGCATTGAGCTATAATCTTTTTTGAACGGAAAGAGGATATTGATATTTGATCCAGAAAGCAAATTAGCTAGAAGGTTAATATTTGATCAATTAGTATATATGAAAATGTTTTGAAGATGAAGTATATATGAGTTTAGGATTAGGAACGATTAAACGTCCGATCTCATTCATAGTTGAGACAGAAAAATAAACGAACTTACGGGAGGACAAGAAGGGATGATTGAGGTGTAGGGCGTGTTCTTCGCGCAGTCACAAACACAGGAGGAGCAGGCAACGAAGAAGATGGCAGCAGCAACAACACAACTCATAATGGATATTCCACGACCACCGTCAACCAGAGAGAGAGCGAAACAGATCTAGCTCGTAATATTGTGTTGGTTTTTTAATAGTTGAATTTGGGAGCCAACATGTCTGCCTTTATTTCATGTAATAAGTGTTTGTTTGTTTGTTTGTTTGGTCGTTCAATGTTTCTGTCTGAGCAGGTAGGACGTAATGATGATGCTGTATGCTAATTTTAGCGACGGGGTTTTAGGGATATTAATGTGATAACCGAGTAGGGCTCGGCGCAATATTGCTGGAGATGTCCAGAAATTTTGATATTTTTTTAGGTTATTTTTCGGAATTAAGGTTTCGAATATTGCAATATGTATCTGTCACATGCCAAATATGGAGAGTCCTGAAGATAAGTACAACCTCATCATTGATATGTAGTCTTGTAATGTTTACATTCCTACTCATTAGTGTTTGAAATTTACGGGATTTAGGAGTATGGTTTTTGGTAAATAAAATAGTTTTTTAGAACTCAATAATGTTACGGGTACCAACTCATTTATCAAATTTTAGTAATACTTTATCAATTCATGTGATACTTGACATAGCAACTCATAATTTGTTAAGTTTTTATTTTTTTATTTTTATGTACATATGTAACAGAGTCATCGCGATACCAATCATGCACGGCAAAACCCACTCACACCGATGCTAATTGATCATGGTGAATCAGTGGTGGGATGGACATGTAGACCACCATAAGGAGTTAATGAAGACTCAGCAGCAGCCAACATCTCTCCAATGAAATTTTTTATTCAATTCTAGGCATCTCCATCAACAACATTATTTTCATTGAGATTTTGAAAAATTTTAAAGAAGTTTTTTAAAGTCCATGTGTATTCAATCATGATTTTTGTAGAAGTCTATAAAATTCTTGGTGTATTCAATCACGATTTTTATAGAAGTTTATAAAATTATGGGTGTATTCAATCTAGAATTTTCAAACTCCATCCAAATTTGGATGTATTCAATCATAACTTTAAAAGACTTAAAGTTTGGGGGTATTAAAAAACTCATTGATTTTAAAAGAAATACAAAAAGTAGTGGATTTTGATTGGTTTTAGACTAATTTAGACTATGACAAATCTTTGCTTCCATGACCATTTTAAGGGAAAAACAAAAGGTGGTGGATTTCACATCCTCTCATCCATGACTAAGGCTGGGCACGATTCGATTATCATGCCATCGGGGAGTTGCCGACCACTGAACCGGAT